AAAATCTGATGACGGGAAAGAAACCCGCAAAACCAAAACCGTCACGGAGAAAGGCGACTCGATGTCCGTACAAGAAGTCGAAACAACGACATCTGTTGTCGAAGACACCAAGAAGGAGACCACCACAACAAAAGTAGACCCCATCGGTACTGCCAATGTAGGGGCCAGTTTGGCCCCTACATTGGCAGACGAAGAAGTCACAAAAGAAGATGAGAAGGTCACCGATGTGGCCCCCACAGATGATGTGGACGACGTCATGAAAGCCGTGAAGGAAGATGAAGAAGTTAAGAATTCAGATACCACCGACGTGGTCCCCACATCGAATGAAGGTTGTGCGGAAGTTGTGAAAGATGACGAGAAGAAAGAATCCGCAATGACAGATGAAAAGGAGGCTAAGAAAGATAATGCGACTCCCACATTGAGGGAGAATGTTATGGAAGCCACATTGGTCGTGAAGAGTGACAACAAGTTTAAGGATTCCAAAGAAGAAATGACCTATGAAACACCAATGAAAGCCACCGAAGATTTTCCGATCACCGAGTTCACAACCCCAAAAGTCCAGGAACTAAAAGCCAAAGAATCGACCAAAGTGGAAACAAAGAAAGGTATGAAACTTAGATGATCAATTGAAATTCATTATAAATTAATATCTAAATGGTCAAAACATATAAGATCTTGATCGCCGCATGTTTGTCCTAGCAAAAATCAAGTGAGAATCCATAAATAAGGTTTCATCTTCAAACATAATATCACCTTCTGTCATCCTTATTCTAGGGACATTATTCTAGGGACATTATGATTTATCTCCCTTATATGACGCGTTCCCTTCTAAAATATATGATTAAGGGACCCTTTATCGTTAATCTTACATGGGTAAGAAATTGAATAGGTAGTGATATCCGGATAGAGATGTTGAATAAATGAGATCAGTTTTATGTTAGACGAATAAACTGTCCGAATCTGACTTTATTTTTTAGAACCGGCAATTATTATTAGCGGACCACTACCTAGCAAGGTGCTAGGCAGGCCCAGAAAAAGAAAGTTACATTTGAGTTTGAATTACAAACAATTCAAAGGGCAAATACAACCAATCAGCCCATTTAAAAAAACGACAATCTACTCTCCTGTGCCTAAGCCAAGTGAATACAAGAGACTTAACACTATCAATGATCTGGAAGTGGGAAATTCGTGATGCTCCTGAACACCCATTCACATCTTGTTTTCCATAATATCCACTTACACCAAAACAAACACAAATTAGGTTGTTTCTCCTTCTCCAACATCTCCCCCAAGTTTTCACAAACCCGATAAGATCCCCAATGGTTTGGAATTGTGGTTTTGGAATATTGCACCATTTAAATATCAGATCCCAAACATTACTCGCCACTGGGCAACGTATCAGAATGTGCTCCGTATCTTCGTCCTCAAGATGACATTGGGAACATGATGCGTTTATAATTGTGACTCCTCTCTTTTTCAACGCCAGGTTGGTTGGGATACGTCCCAGATTAGCCTTCCAAATAAAGGTATTGACCTTTATAGGGATATCATGAATCCACGGGATGATTACTTCGTTGATTGCCGGCTCTATATTATCAATTTTTAATTTGATCGCCTCTACGTGAAAAGTACCATCATCTGATAAGGGGCAGATCCATGAGTTCGGATCTGGAGATGGCCGGTGCTCACCAATGGCCTCGTACAGCATCTGAAAGCTATGAATCTGTTCATCAGTTACAGGGGTTGATCTCCATTCCCAAGTATAGCCCTCCACTTGCACTCTTTGACTAATCCTGCAAGCTTCACGTCTTTCAAGTTGATATAGTTCTGGGAATTGATCCTTTAGTGGCTCACCATCACACCAATCGTCCATCCAAAAGAGGGTATCGTCACCATTCTTCACTTTTTTCTTTAGAATGTCTCGAAAGCTTATCCCAACTTAGATAGTTCATTCGTCACCTCCAGCGCGATATTGTTCCACACACCTGCAATAGTTCTTTTTGATAAGATATTAGCAGGTTTGTTTTTGCAGATTATGAATACCCATAATTACACACGACTCCATAAAGTTGTTTTGTTTTGTTTTTAATGCCCACCACCATTTGACAATCATTGATATGTTGAAGGCCCTGAGTGATCCAAGACCAAGTCCCCCTTTATCCTTTGGGGCAACGATCTTTTCCCACGATACCCAAGCAATTTTATACTTGTTATCACTCCCGCCCCATAAGAACTGCCTACGAATCTTTTCAAGAAGGTCAATAACTCCCACCGGGGCCACGAATATAGAGAAATAATACGACGGTAGGCTGCCCAGGATTGCTTTGGCTAAGGTTAATCTCCCTCCAAAGGAGAGTGCTTTCGATTTCCAAGGCGAGAGTTTAGAGTAAAAACGATCAATTATAGGCTTCCAATGCTTCTTTGCTTCATGTTCGCGCCTACCGGGACCCCAGGTATGGTGAAGGGTAGTGACGCTGGTTGACAACCCAAAGGTGCAGCCCATCGAGAAACCTCAGCCATGTCAACTCCGACACCAAACACCCTGGATTTGTTAAAGTTTACCTTTAATCCTGACGCCACCTGAAAGCATCTTAACACCCTTGCTAAATTTTTTATGTTGCTTTGACTCCACTCACCCACAAAAATGGCGTCATCGGCATAGAACAGGTGAGAGATTGACATTCTTTCGTATGTGGTATTTTTATACCTTGAAAAAGACCCTTCTGGCAAGCTGTTTTCCATCGCAACGTTTAATCCCTCCATGACAATTTAAAATAAGAATGGTGAGAGTGGGCCCCCTGCCGTACACCTTTTCCCTTCCAAATTCCACCGTTGGAGACCCATTATGAGTTTGAGAGTCTAGCTGATTGGAGGCATCCCTTAATCCACATACGCCATTTGTCTTCATATCCCATTTGGATAAGTATCGATTCAAGATACTCCCAATTAACGGAGTCAAAAGCTTTCTCTTCTCTAGATCCACCTGAAAAGTAAATCTGTTTTTTTCACCCTTCTTGGCCCAAGCACATAGCTCATTTACAATCAGCGATCCATCAAGGATATTTCGTCCCTTCACGAAAGTCGTTTGAATCTCTCCGATGTTCTTGCCAATCACCATACTGAGTCTGTTAGCTAAGGTCTTGGAGATTATTTTGTATAGAGAGCCAATTAAGCTAATTGGCCTGTAATCACGTATGTGCAGTGGGTCTTTTATCTTTGGTACAAGCGTGATGAAGGACGAGTTACAACCCCACTCCAACGTTCCGTATTTCTCAAAATATTTAACGAATTCCATAATATCCCCCTTCAATACATCCCAGTATTTTTTTATAAACTCAAAGGTGAATCCATCTGGGCCAGGTGCCTTATCCCCTCCGCACGCCCAAATAGCTCCTTTGATTTCTTCAGTTGTGAAGGGATCTTCAATTTTTGATCGAGAGACCGAGTCGAGCATGCTAAATTCACTGCTGTTAAGTTTTGGCCAGGAAGGCCACCTTTCTTGAAATTTTTTCTGATACAACGAAAGAACTTCACCTTTAATTGCTGCCACATTTGTGTTCCAAGATCCATTGATAATCAACCCATGAATGTGGTTCTTGTTTTTCTTGTTGTTTAAATACCCGTGGAAAAAACGGGTATTCTCATCTCCATCAACTGTCCATCGAATTCTAGCCTTTTGTTTTAAATCAAGAACAACCAATTTTTCAAGCTCGGTTATCCTTTGAACACCAAGTCTCCTCTCCTGTAATTCCAAAACTGATAGCGATTTAGTTTCAGCAGCTATATCTAGTTCCTGTAACCTGCGTTTAAGCTTTCCGAATCTGACTAGATTATCACTTTACAATCTACATTACATTCCAAGTTTCCAATACAGTTTTTACAATATTAAATGATTTTTAGCAAAATTTATTAGTTTGAACATTAGAAGAGTTTGGTGGGAAAAATAATTAGCAAAAAAAGGTAAAGGTTGTTATCGTAATACTTTAAGCAATGTTCTTTTCTTTTTGCTAAACTCATTTAATTATTTTTGACCAGATCGAATAAAAAAGAAACAACCACTTATAACTGTCCAAATTAAACGATTCACTAAGTTCTCGTGAGAAGATTTTCATTTCTTTTTTCATTATATGTTGCAGAAGAAGATGTGAAGGTGACAGGAGCAGACATTGCTAAAACAGAGACCTCACCCGCAACAGAACCTAAGAAGGTTCCCACCACCGATGAGGTGCATATTTTTCCTTTATTTACGTCTTTTTTTAAAAGTCAATCATGCCATTTTTATTATCAAAAGCATATTTTAGTATAAATTTATAACATAAGATCTTCAAGTAAAATATCAAATAGACTAAACGTATGTTTCTTTTGGGTGAAACTTGTCTTTATGATAACTATTCTACAATTTTCATTTTTAGGCAAATGTTGTGGAAACAAAAGAGACAGAAACATGATACAAAAATGAAGGACAAGATGAAATCCTGGACAATGCATAAATGTGGCTCACGTCATATCATATGGTCGTGGTTTAATGTAATATCTTTGGAAAGTTGCTATATTTTTAGATTGTATACTTCTAGATCTACTGTGAACATACCTCAGAGATTACAATGTATGACATTTAGAAGTTTTCAAATATCCAGTTTCGTTCTTCATCTTTTTATTACCTTATTTATTTTCGAACAATACAAATAATGTCCTATTTGATTAACTCGACTAGAAAGTTTTGCGTTATTGTCATAAAAACCCTACAAACTGATGCCTTACGTTTTAAAAGTTACCTAAACTAATTTTGTATGTTTTAAGCCATTAAAATCAATAAATCTACGTCAAAGGAACCCTTTCGTAAAATTTTGAAGGGGTCATCCGGTAAATGTTGCTGATATGGATTTTGACCATGTAAAGGTCATAGTTATGCTGAAGTGGAGATGCCATGTGTACCCCTAGCTTCCAAACGTTGTCCTTAAGTTAAGACTTAAGAGTATCACCTCCAAAATCAGTCGTCTCCATCGCCTTCAATATGCCAAGGGAGAGGAAAGAAGTGGAAGTATGTAACATCATCTAAGCACTGCCACATCAGCATCCCAGGTGTTGTCTATGTGGACAAGATTTAGGCCACATCATCTCGATTTTACCTTATAACCTGTTCCATTCCCTTGTTTAAGAGGTAATTTTATGGTTCAATGCCTTAGAATGCACAAAAAAACACTAGAGTTTATGAGGTTTTTATGGCAATAACCATAAGTTTTAGGGTGGGAAACTTTGTGACGTGATCCAATGCACACCAAAAGAGCATATGCAATAAATTTGCAAATAGAATGGAAGAATTGTATACTTTTACTAATTTCATCCATAATTATAAATACATCTTATCACATGAAATCGTACACATTGAGAGAAAAATTCTTCAAAATAGAAAAGAGGGTAACTTTCACACACAACACATATATTATACAAAATCAAAATTCAATGGCATGGCTTTTGCATGGATTTGAAAGATTTGTTCTGTTATGAAGAAAACCATTGTACCTTACATTCTCTTCTATCAGATTATCGTTTATCTATGCCTTAGAGCTTGTAAATGTAAGCAATTTTGCACAGATTTCGTTCAATGTCATCATTCAAAATGTATTTTCGAATCATCCGACAGAAGATTCCTAGTTTTGTACATTTTTATTGGGGATTTAGTTTGGTGTGGATCAATATGACGAAAACTAGGGCTCTGCTGCCAATTCAAACTCAAAGAACACCTCATCCATCGACCTACATGTCGATGAAATACTACATGCTAACATTATACAAACTGAACATTGGTCAAGGCAAATAAATTGCTTATTGATATGACTAATTTCGATTACCAGCTTCAGTTAACTCAGAGAGCAGAGCCACAAAAGGGGCAAAATCTGAAATCAGAATCGACCTCCCGTGCGCAGAATTGACATCGGAGGCTTTCCGATGGCCGAAAGTCGGAAGAAATCGGAGACAGCGACGGCGGATAGAAAAGGCCGCAATTGTTGCAGTGCATGAGTTGGTCTTTTCCCGGCCACCGCCAAACCGGGACGAAAAAGAGTTTTAAGACGTTATTGGTGTCCACAAGATCCGCCGGTGACCGGCAATTGATACACCTCCCCGCTTCTTGCTTCAGCACCTGACGGACCTCTTGAGTAACTCCTCCTACGAAGAAGAAAAACATGCTGCATATGTGAGGAAATCGCGTTGCAACTATATGCTGTGAGCCTGAGTTTAGATTTATAAGGACTCGAATAGGAGGTTTCCGGAGGGTTCTACCAAAAGCAGGGCAAACACCAATCAATTTTTTTTTTTTTTTCCTTTCTATGTTTTCTATTTTCGAATACCATTGATAGAAAAAAGTTTTACACACACATACTTGATAAACACAAGCTGTACCAAAATCTCTTTTTGGATAACAAAACTAATTCATTTAAAAACAATATTTATAAATCTTATGGTCATAACATTACTATGCATGACCCGTTTGACTCTATTGAGGAGCTCCACAGTTTCTGACGCAAGGAAACCGAAAGTATCAAATACAAAAGGTATAAATATGTGTTGATTTTTCATGCACGCTTTCTCATGTTTTGCCACTTTGCGTGATGCAACTTTTAAAGCAGCTTGACTCATAGTGAAAATCTCACTCCTCAAGTCTACAAGAGGGGAAACATCTGCTAGATCCACGCATGCATGTATTTTGTTATAAATCATTTTGGTAAATTACATCAATCGTTTTTTCGTGTAGGTGCTAAAATGCACGTTCAGTTTTTATTTTCAAAAATTAACTCGTATCGTCTCTCATTGATTTAGCTTTGCACGCGTCACCCCTAAAAGAATATTTTGTTGCAAACTTAGTCCATGTTAGATTTGAAATTACCTTAATTCATTTATTTTTTATTTTTCAATTAACTTGATTCTTTTATTATGATTTTCAACTAAAAAAAATAAAGTTCTCTCCCCTTCACTTTCCCTAACCCATCCGCCCCTTCTTCGCTGCTAATGATCGGGAAGAAAAACACACAAGCGTATACAAGCACTGTTCTCCATCTCTCCATCTCCGACGATCCTCTTCCATCTAAACTACGACTACTATCTTCGACGGTCCCTTCTTTGTCTCCGTCGATGCTGCTATAGGGTCGTCGCTACTGTCACTGTTATTTGAATCCAAACTGTCGATGGAGATGATGTCGGAAACATGGAGGAGGAAAATCCATATGAATCGCACTGCAGAGGGGGAGAGGTGGTTTCCGACGGGTTCTACACATAGATAGAGATGATGCCGCCAACTAGGGTTTCAAATCGAGCTTCACCGCTTGTTTAGGTTTAGTAACACAAGAGATAAAATATGCAAGATGAAGGGGTGGTTGTCGGAGGTCCGATTCTTCACATTTGGTGGATTTCAGCATCATCGATATGAGGTTCCAAGATAGCAGTGAGATTCAGGGTGACCACCACTACGTCTATCTAAATCATTTTTTCTTCTCCCACAACTTGTGGGTTTCGATTTACAGGTTTATAGTTTCATTTTCAGGTTTAGGGTTTAGTTAGATTTGATTTCAGGTTCTAGGTTTATCAATTTTATGTGGATCGTCGGATTTTGGGGAAGGAAAATGGTAGGATGGGTTAATAATGGTCGAACATAAGGGTCATCTTCCAAAATAAGTGGTGGGAGAGAAATATGAGTGATAGGTGTTGGTGATAGTTGGTGATAGGTGGTGGTTTCTGGTGGTGATAAGTGGTGGTTGTCGGGGTTGAGAAAGAAGACTGGGAAGAGAGATGGCAATGATATAATAGTGGTGGTGGTGTTTATATTTAATTAAACAATTTCTTTTAATAGATTAATAATTAATAATTAATAAAAAATCAAAAACTAAATAAATAAAGGTAAAATGGTCTTTTTATGGCCGGAGGGATGGAGCTTGTAAATTTTAAACTAACGAGGAATGGTCGGAATTAAGTTTTAAAAAATAAAGACTAAACGTTTATTTTGGCATATGCACAAGGGACGATTGATGTAATTTATCAAAATAATTAACAAATGATCATACAAGTTTCACATGAATAAGTCGATTTGGTCTTATTCGAATTCGGATTTAAAAAAATAAATATGAATAGTTCAAATTAAATTAAAATAAAATATGAGACAATTAAATTATAATTTGATTAGATATTTAGATTGATTTTTCCCTTTTTTTTAAATTAAAATCATTCCAAATAATTAGTTACTTTTAGAAGAGCCGAAATTTTATTTAAACATATTATTCCATCATAATTAAACTTCAATTAATTTGATTGATCTATTAATTAGAATTTAGAAAGATTATGTTTACCTTAAACTTCAAAACTTAACACATGATAATATCAATTGGATATACAAAACATTTGAATCTATATTTATACCATATGAGATCAATAATTAGATCATTAATTTTGACATTTAGATGGATCAAATGATTATCAACTATTAAGAAACTCAAAACTCCATTAAAACCTTCATATATAGCTTCATAATTAACCAAATAGATTTATGTAACATCCCGTTTATTAAATAAATAAATAGACAAATTAATGAATGAATAGTAGCTCAAAAATCAATAATAATATAGCAAGGTGTTGGTCTCGAGGAGTTAATTGATACAATTTTGGGAGTTGGGGGTTAAAAGTATAAATTCCGGAGTGGTTTGTAAATATTTATGAAGGCAGGGACTGCTTGCTAAATTATTGGGATTTAATTTGAAGAGATTTGAGAGGTTAAGGGGTTGAATGGTAAGTTTTGGACCGAAAATGAAATGAATATATGGAATCAGGGGCTAAAGGGTAAATGTTGGATTAAAGCTGAAAAGATTTTGTGAGGAGGGGTTGATTTCGGAAATATGGACAAAGCTGAAATGAGACACGGGTTTAACCTTGTATCTTTCTTTTCTTTCCCTCTCGTTGGAATATTGGAACCCTAACCCTAATGAGAAACAACACCCGCCACCTTATACCTCTTAGCCACCGGCCGCCGTCACCACCCATCTAATTCATTTTTCCGACCAGCTAGCGGCCACCGAACGTCCACCACGTGAAACCTATTCAGCCACCGCCCAGCCGAGATCGTTTGCCGCTGCTTGTCGATGATCGCCACCACCACAATTTCGCTACCGGTGACACTGGGAGCAAACGGGACGACTGTCACTGCCCTCCTCCGGTGAAGACGCGACCAGTATGCCCCGCTACAACCATCCCCTTTCGCTTCCCATCTTCATGCCGTTCCACCGCCGGAAATTCACGGTAAGCCTTATTTCCTCCTTGTGTGCTTGACTTGGCCGTTGCTGCGTTTTTCCGGCGACGCCTGCCGCCCAAGCGGTGGCTGTAGGTTTGTATCTTCAAGTGTACATGTCGATTGCTGCTTTTTTGAGGATTATACATAGGTTATTTTGCCAGAAACCGACCGCCACCACCATGAGGTGGTGGTTGCCACCACTTGCTGCCGCCTACCACCGCATGGGTGGCTGTATGCGGGTCGTTGGAGTGTGTAAGTATGTTTCCTTTATGTTGGGTTGTTGATTGGGTGATTTGGCCGGAGAAAAGTCAAGGAAAACTACCACCACCACCGTTAAGTGGTGGCTGCCGTCGCCTGCCGCCGTCGACCACTACTGCCCGAGGTGGCAGTGGGTGGTGCACGACATAGTAAAACCCTAATCGGCCCAATAGCTTAATTTAGACTTAGTTGGTTTGTGATTTGGGTTGGAAACCCTAATTAGGGTTTAGAAAACCCTAATTTTAGAAAATGTTGGTTTGGACCTATCGGGACCCGTGTGTGGACCAGTGGACTGAAGTTATGACTTATGTCGATTCCATTGTATGATGGCTTAGTGGAATAATGGACTTAATGGGTTAAGTCCTTAATGGGTTAAGTGAGAACACTTATCCCTAATCGTCATTTCATGTGAAAACCCTAATTGTATTGGGTTTTGATTTGGGCCTAGATGTTTGGACTATTGATGGGCCATCCAAGAACAAGTATGGACTAGAATATTGAATTGGGCTTTAGGATAAGGCCCATTGGAAAGCTTTGGGCCCAATTTGGAAAATTGGGCCATAGTTGGGCCTTGGTTGATTATTTGACTTATTGGGCTTTCAGGGTATGATTTTGGGCCTTAATCTTGGACCAAGTTAGGCTAGGGGTAAAATGGTCTTTTACCCAAGTATGGACTTATGGTTATGCATTGGAACCCGATGGTTAATTGGGTTTTGTTTTGATGTTGACAACTTGGGGATCTGCCAGCCAGCAGCCCAAGATTTATTCGCGGGACTTCAGCAGTGCGAGGTGAGTCCTCTTCCAGTATGAACGGGTCTAAGGCACCAATGCCGACCCGTGTAGTTTATATGTTCTTGATAGGAACACGGAGTATGGGCGGGGCCCGTATCTCATTATTACCAGAGTATAGATATCAGTCAGATTGTTGGATTGCTATACTTGTTGTCTGTGTGATACTTGTATGTGGTTGTTTATGTATGTGAGTGTGGGCGGGGCCCGTATCTCATTATTATCGAGTGTGGGCGGGGCCCGAATCTCATAGTATCCGAGTGTGGGCGGGGCTCGAATCTCGTAGTATTATTTGAGTATGGATATGTGACTGCTTGATAGAATTAGATATACTTGTTGTATGTGTGATACTTGTATGCATGTTAGTAGCGGGGTGTGGGCGGGGCTCGAATCTCCTAGACAGCGAAGTGTGGATGGGGCCCGAATTTCCTAGATAGCGGAGTGTGGATGGGGCCCAAATCTACTAGACAACAGAGTGTGGGCGGGGCCTGAATCTCCTAGACAGTGGAGTGTGGGTGGGGCACAAATCTCCTAGATAGCAGAGTGTGGGCGGGCCCCGAATCTCCTAGATTATGGAGTGTGGGCGGGGACCGAATCTCCATGAGAGTGAGCGGGGCCCGTATCTCCTAGCTGCATGTTATGTGTATGGTATGTGGTAGTTTGGGGAGACTCACTAAACTTCGTGCTTACGGTTTTCAGTTTTGGTTTCAGGTACTTCGGTTTTCAAAAGAGGAGTTCGGGATGATTGCAGTACACACACCATTTGTTCAGCCTGGGATGTTTATACTCTGATATATTTGAGAGATGTTATGATATTCTTGAGATACACAATTTATGGTTTTTATATATTGAATGATAATTATGGT